GCGTTATGGAAGTCGACAAGGTTCGCAGTTCAAGTCGAACTATCGAGGTTTTTTAGGCGGACAAGGCTCCCAACTACGAACCACTCGGGGGCGGTCAGCTGCGCCGCAAGTGAAGAGGAGCCGAGACTAGGAAAAGAGGTTGGTTATATGAGTAAGATTGGCTTGTTAGTAATCAGACACCTTTTGTAGCTGGTCAATTGAGATTTTGCCTAGATCGATGGAATGATATTACCTCTGACTCATTTATTTGTCATGCATTCGCTATTGTACAATCGAGTTTGATTCTATGCCTTTTCAAATGGGTTATAATCTTCATCCCGAAGCTAAATTTTCCCCCACTGAGCAGCAAGCAATTGATGCTGAGATCGCTAATTTCCTAGCCAAACAGATTGTTGAGCGCTCCAGTCCGGAGTATGGTGAATTTATTTCCCCTATTTTTCTCCGCCCAAAAAAGGAACCGGGCAAGTACCGGATGATCTTTAACCTTAGTAAACTTAACGAGTTTGTTACATACCGACATTTTAAAATGGATACTCTGGAGGCTGCGATTAAGTTAATGAGCCCCTCCTGTTTTATGACGTCCATTGATCTGCGAGACGCATATTACTCGGTACCAATTTCGGCGAGTCATAGGAAGTTCCTTAAATTTATTTGGCGAGGTCTACTTTACCAGTTTACTGCACTACCCATGGGACTTTCGAGTAGTCCGCGTATCTTCACCAAAATTTTGAAACCGGTGTTTGCTACGTTACGAAGTAAATACGGGCACTCTTGCCTTGGGTATATCGATGACTCTTTTTATACTGAGACCACCGCTGTTCGGTGTGAAGAAGCCACATTTCGCACAGCTACCTTGTTTTCTTAGTTAGGTTTTATGGTTCATTGTACTAAATCGGTGTTTGAACCTACGCAGAGGTTAGAGTTTTTGGGGTTCCGGTTAGACTCCGTCTCAATGACTGTTTCGGTGACGAAAGATAAAGCCGGCAGGATTGTCGTTTTGTGCAATAAGGTCCTCGCTGGTAGCAGTTTCCCCATTCTTTTGTCGGCACTCTTGTGGCAACTTTTCCCGGGGTTGAATATGGACCGCTGTTTTATAGATGCCTTTCTCGGGATAAGGACGCTGCTTTAAGGAATAGCGCAGGGAATTTTGACAGTTCCATGTCATTATCAGCAGAGAGTAGAATTGAGATTGAATGGTGGAGGAGGTCCTTACCGCTAGCTGTTAGAAAAATTGATCATGGGCCAGCTCAACGTATTGTTTACATTGATGCTTCCCTTATTGGCTGGGGTGCAAAATCTAATGATTCAGATACCCAAGGTTTATGGTCCAAAGAAGAAGCTTTGTATCATATTAATGTGCTGGAAATGTTAGCTGTTAAGTTTGCCCTCAAATCCTTGTTTAGCCAGGTTCACGATGTCCATATTAGAATCATGTCTGATAGCACTACAGTAGTTTCGTATATCAACAGCATGGGAGGTTTCAGGTCCCCGTCGTGTGACTCGGTCGCTAAAAGTGTTTGGCTCTGGGCTATTGATAGACACATTTGGCTTTCGGCTGCACACATGCTTGGTGTTGAAAATGCTGAGGCTGACCGTTTATCTAGAATTTTTAAAACCGAGTTAAAATGGCTGCTAAACCCGCGCATTTTTCAAAAAGTCGTACACTTTTTCGGGCTGCCAGACATTGATTTGTTTGCGAGCAGACTGAACAAACAGGTTTCGCTTTATGCATCATGGAAACCAGACCCGCAAGCTTCTATTATCGATGCATTTGGCGCCGATTGGTCAAATTTTTCTAATTTTTATGCGTTTCCTCCTTTTTTGTCTCGTTGCTAGGTGTCTGCAGAAGGTCATGATGGAGCAGGCAACAAGAATTATAGTGGTCCCCATGTGGAACACTCAAGTTTGGTTTACAAGGTTACTGAGTCTTCTAGTCGAACCGCCTCGGTGGGTACGAGTAACCAAGGATGTGTTAATTCATCCGATTCAACATCAGACCCGTCATCCACTGTGCCCAAAACTCAGACTAATGGTATGCAAAATATCAGGCAGACCATCGCTAAGCATGGCATTCAGACAGACATTACAGACATCATCATGTGCTCCTGGCGACGGGGGACCCCAAAACAATACAATTCCTACATCAAGAAATGGCATACGTTTTGTTTACGAAAGGAAACTGATTTGGTGCGACCCCATGTAACAGATATTTTAAAGTTTTTACACAGCCTTTTCAGAGAAGGTATGTCATATTCAACGATTAATACAGCCAGATCGGCGTTGTCTAATTACTTAGCAGATTTTTCTATGGAATCACGATGCCAGTTGACAAAGCACCCTTTGGTATTACGGTACATAAAAGGAGTCTTCAATTGTAGACGACCTGTGCCCAGGTATTCTGAAACATGGGATGTCGATATAGTTCTAGAATTCATCGCAGGCATGCAACCGCATGATGCACTAACGCTTAAGGAACTTTCGATGAAGTTGGTTACACTAAATGGCTTTAACATCCGGACAAAGATGTCAAACATTAGTCGGTTAAAAAAAATAATAATTATCAGAGTAACAATTAATGCAACCATCATTTTGTTATTATTTAGGCGAGACCTTTTTTATTCCTTGTTTCACATACTTATTTTTTTAAAGATCATTGGAGGAGGGCGGAAAAAAAATGAAAATAAAATTTTATTTTCTTATTTAACAAATAGTTTTGCCAAAAACATCCAGATGGAGAAGAAAATAAAAATAAAATGTTTATTGGTGAATGTAAAATAGGATGGTTAAATGCTTCAAGTTTATATAATTAGGAAGAAATATCTTATTTTTGGAGATTTCAAGGCAGCAGAGGGCGTAATAAAAATGAAGAAAAACTTTCATTTTTTTCTGAAATTATTTTTTTATTCTAAATCATCAATATTTGCAGTAGACGGGTTCACTAAACAAGGTGGAAAACAAGTCTTGCCTTATTTATTTATTTTCTCTTCTTTTTACTGGGTACCCTGTTCAGTTATAGATCTAAGTCTGTTCTCTGACAGTCTCTGAATGCAAGCATCTTAACACTCTGCCCACCAAACACGGATATCTCTGTGTTTGGTAACACAGCGCTTGACCGCTAAACACAGAGATGATTGTGTTTCAGGTAATTTTACGGAATTCGATAGATAAGATAGTTACAGACATGTACTATCAATTTGAACACTACATTCAGTCTGGACCGTAAGTATTTCACTATTTGTTTGTTTATGATTATCTCAGCTTTGTTGTGCGAAATTGTGTAAATCTCCAAAAGTGAGTCATTTTCGTTTTACTGTTACAGGTCACCGATTGTGATTAAAATAAAGTGTTTGCAGGGGCGGATCCAGAGATGTCCAAAAGTGGGGGGGGGGCCCCAAAATGGGGGGGGGGCCCGAAATTTGGGCCGATCGAGACAACAATTTTTTTAAAAAACCTAGGGGGTCCGGGGGCATGCCCCCGCGAAATATTTGTGTTCTAGACGCCCGAAAATAACATTTGAGGTGTTGTGGGCTATCATTTTTTTCTTTTTCTTTTTTTTCCCCTTTTTTTTTTACCTCCCAAAAGGGGGAGCCGGGGCCGGTTTGGTATCATTGTAAAGCTAAGATGTTTGTAGTTCTTGTAGTATTCATTACATGTCAATCTGATCACATATGCACTCTCAACGAGCTTCGGTAAAGTGTAAACATTTTCTAAAATGTCTGGCGGTGGCTGATACTATTTTTTCAAACCCCTGGCGGTCAGAGTGTTAAAACACCAAGCTATTCAACTCCATATTTGGGAGGAGGAGGGCTCATAGAAAAGAGTGTTTAAATCTACTTATCTTGAAAATACTGATAAAAATTGAAGACTCTGTAAAGCGATAACCATGAACACATATGCATTGCACGTGCAAGCATACGCATATGTCGCACAGGCCAAAGCACAGGGACAAAACATGACATACTGTACACCTGCAACAACATGAACTATATAAAATTGATCCTGTACGTCCCAATTCAGTAACAGTAAGTGTGGGTGAGATTAATGCCTAATTCTTTTAACGCACTAGGATTTCTCACTGAGCCTTTCAACACATTATATCTACAACTCTACAGGGTCCTGGTTTAACAGATTTCTGCTTTTGTAAATCCATTAACAACTGATTTATTTACTTAATACCAAATTATTTCCTTACACGCAGTAATGTAATAATAATATTACTATATAAATATTATTGAATGATAACAATAGCCAATAATATTAATAATGATATCAAGAATTATATTATTAGAGTAGAAATTATATTATTGTAGAGCTCTTTTTAGAATAAAGCAAAAGATTCATTTTAAAGATGTGCTGTCCCATTAAAAAAAAACCTCAAAAAAACCATTAAAATCATTTTTGAAATTAACTTGCCTATTTTGAATTAACATAAAAATTATCAACTTCAACATTGAAATTACTGTACAGTAGTTAATTCCCCCCCCCCAAGGGAAAATACATCTTTTATAAGGTTTCATCAGGATTATGATAAAAATAACTATATCATAGTAATTTGTTACTCTATTTTTTCGAAAAAATGCCAGGGGCGTTTATTGTTGAGAAGGGTTTTTGCAGGACGTTTATTTGACGGAGACGTTTACTCAAGGGACGCAATTATTTTTTAGGTGTGAAATGGATATGTATACTCAAATATACACCTCTAATTTTAACTGTAAATGTGGAGCTACAACACATAATTACCGGCAAAATGTGTTATTACGTGATCATAACGACGTGTTGATTCAAACCAGATTAGAAAAAATGTAATTCTACTGGAGTAGACCATTAATATAGAATGTGTTGAGAATGTTGTTGCTTCCATTAGGTTTGAGAGAGTTGTTTATTATAATTTCATACAGTTTTATTTATTATTAATTATTATTATTATTATTATACAAAATGAGGCACTAAATAAGCGTTTATTAGAATAAATACAAATATCAATTCAGTAAACATCTTACTCTCAAGTTCAAGTACCACAACCAGTTTTCCTCCAACACAAACACAAACATTGGCATCATGATATATGTGGAAGGCTATCACTTTGGCCATGATGTCCCAAAACAATCAACCTGTACAGGTATTAAGAGAAAATTCAGTAATTTGACACTGTAACAGTATATAAATGTTGAAATTTTTTTTAAATTAATATAAGTAATTTTAGCTCAATACAGAGCATTGTGTTAATCTTTATCTTTGTTCATTCCACCACCTATGGTACAATACCGAAACTAAGAAGGCAATGCCTGTAGGCCTAAGCAGGTCCGGTGCTAACTTATAAATTAATGCCTTAAATAAACATCAGACAGATACAAACATGGTCCTTAACTTGCCTAACCCTCCTGAGAGGGTTATTCGAGGAGCTGAGCGTTTTTTTGTTATTATAAAGACCCGAATTCAATACTGGACACAGAGCCGGTATCGAACCAGGGGCCTGGCGTGCAAGAGGCAGGAAAAATACCAATTCCATACCATACCATACCGTATACAGAGAGTATTCAATAAAGTTGGATTACACAAATACCTATTATTAACAAAAAACCTAATGAAATTTTTAAAGATATATTATTGATATTTGAAAGATACATTGTCATCAATATGATGAATCAAAGTAAACAAGCACACCGCATCCTTGCAGTTCTAAAGAACAGGGTCCCTAAAGTTCACTAGTAATACCTGCATGGAATAGAGTTTCGATCTTTGATCACTCCGATGATTCAAGGATCAAACAGCAATTTCCATGAGCATAATTACTAGGGCAAAATCTACCGATCTGGTTAGAATTTCATAGTTGTTAATCTGCTTGGCTATCCCCAGGCAGCATCCTAATGTGTTTTCAAGAAATTTAATCATGAATACATAATAAAACATAATTCATTCATCAATCATCATATCAAAAATTTGTTCCAAGGTATATTTAATTACTGAGAAAAAAAAAACCCAACAGTATTCAGTACTGAAAACTTAAACACAAGATTCAAGATTTGTTGATTGTCATGCCCACTATATATCAGAAAGTTGTAGTACAAATGTCCCACACTGCGCATTGCAGCTCTGAGGGGCATTTTACACAAGAGATACAGGTTGTTTTTGTGTATTCCACCTGTTACTTCTACGTAACCAACAAATCACCGTGTTCCATCTGCTTCACACATTTTTCGCCAGAGGATGTTTTGTAAAACATTGCATCTAGGCCTAGTCTGGCTCCCCTAGGCTAGCTAGGAGCACAGAAAAATTTTATCATTCAATTGACTAAAAATATAGTTTGACATAAATTCAATGGAAAGAACACATTAATGTGCGGAATCTACTATTTTGATGACAAAAATTGGTTGAATATACAGAGTTCTGTTATACTAAATTTAATAAAATAAATTTATTTCAAGATTTACGCACATTGGCCTATCTTGAATTTGACACTATCTGCTGCACCAGGCGTACAGCCTGCCTACCTACCTACACCTAGATGCTATGTCTCCTCTCTCTGCACGCGTTCTGGTAGGTTATGCGATGACACATCACTCGTATTGCGGCCTAGAGTGGGTTAGATTCTACCTAGCCTAGGGTATTTAATCACTTGGGGCACAGAGTGTTATTAAAACACATCAAAAATATCATTACATACTAGTAGTATTAATATATATAATAATCTTTGATGTTTTCATAAGTTTTATAAGAGAATTAGTTATTTTCTATTTTGTTCGTATTTTATTATAATTGGAAACGTTCTAGCATATCACCGTTAAGTTTTTGAAGGTGGGAATTCTATATTCGAAATCAGAAATTATGGGAGAACATCATCCGAGTTTTTTTTTTTTTTTTAGTAATACCGAATCAGAGTCCAGGAAAAGGCCCAAAATGTGAGCCCGATTTTTTCCTGATATGTTAACACTTTCCTATTTGGGATTTTGACAAGCGCCCTCACACAGATGTGCTCCTACTAGTAGTTTAGGCTTTTATCCACTAGGCCTACTGTCAGTCCATACGCCTTTTTCACGAATCAGTAAACATCTTAAAGTGATGACAAACAACCCAAGTCAGTGGTGTGTAACCAACAGAAATAAGATAAACTTTGAGGCTAAATTCTTGTCCTCATGTATCTAAAAATACATAACTCTATGACAGGGGGTCGTATCACATTATTTTTCTCTGGAAAATGTTCTCAAAAGATTATTCTACACCACTTGGCACTAGGCCTATATGATTGAAAAAAAAATTGAAAAATGTTTTTGACCTCCGAAAACAAGATGGAAAAAGAAAAGCCTATCTAAATAGTGTATTAAAATAGGCCTATGCAATAAAGTACAGTTACAGTACTAGTAGTAGAAGGCCTAGTACTCTAATAAACTAGGCCTAGCATTGTTTTAGTTACCATATAAATATGAGATTTTCCTGGTTAAAAACATGATTTACTAATGCTATACTTCTTTATAAAATATAACTTGCACTTTATAATAAGAGAAATCTGTATATTATCGGTACCTGGAACAGTAATAACACGAAAATACTATGCTTTGTTGGGCGCCTACCTATTACATGTGTTGTGTCACACTTCACAAGTAGGTCTAAGGCCTAGGCTAGCTAGGTACTACTAGGCCTAGTAGTAGTAGTAGTAGCTAGCTAGGCTAGTACTGTAGACTAGTAGTGTAGGAGGTGCCCAGCTTAGCGTAGGCCTCGTGGATATGCAAAAGATCTGAAGCCTGATACAATAAAGAGCATTTCTTTAAAATGATTATCATTTCTGAATACAAACCTAGGCCTACGGTTGCAATTATTTGTATCTAAGCCCATTAAACATTACAACACAGAAACAGCCACATTTCCTTCGAAACAACATGTGTAAAAAGTTTTCTGTTGTTTGTTTGCATAGAGCGCCCTCTTATTAATCACATTGTTCCCGGTCGAAGGTGTTTGAGGGGGATGATTGAAGAAAACATGACATTTACCATTAGGCCTACCTTATCTTAATATCACTGAAGTGAATAATGAAACTTGATGACTATGAAAACTAATATTAATTATATTGTGTGGTCAAAGTCTGACCTCAAAGACCCCTCCATTAGGACCATCTCCAATTAAAGAATACTTTTCTATGGCCCAGAGTTAAATAAATTATAGGCCTGTATACAACTGTCTCGGCTCTAAACGCCTACAGCTGTATAAATTTTATATTTATGTTGTTAATTATGGGCCTAATTTGAGACCAAAGCTGCAAAATACCATTATAAAAAAAGTGGGGGGGGGGAGGGTGTTTTTTTTTTCTTTTTGTAATCGGAACAATAGATTATTTCGCTTTTGTATTTATCGATGAGGGATGGACTGTTTATATTTGGCCTGTAATAATAAATAGGCCTATTGTATAAAAACTGGTTTAATTTTATAGTTTTTTAAAGAAAACGTAATGAAGTCACAAAATTGCATTGTTATTTTTATGCTGTTTAAATAACTGATGCGCAAAAAAAAAAATTTTTTTATTCCCGTATCAATATATGCCGAATTTTTTACGCGGGCTGGAGTGATAATCTAATAATTTTTTTTCTATTTACCCTTATTATCAGCTCGGGCTGGATGGACTACCCTCGTAAAATATTGTTGAAATAAATAAATAAATAGAGCCAAGGGCTATCACGTACCGTACCAATCCCAAATTCAACACATTACGTTTTTAATAAAGCGATGCGATCTTAGGACAAGGATGCCAATGTAAGTGGAATGTAATACAATTTAATGTATGGAATGTAATGTTGTGTAATGTAATGCAATTTAATCATGGCATTGAAACATCAAGTTAATGATTAGATTAGAGTAATGTAATGTGTTGTATGGCTTACCTTCCAATCCCAGGGTTCAAAAGCTGTCACAACAGGGATTTTTTTTTTCTTACGACTAAAAAAAATTCCACCACCCTGGTTCGCTAAGCATTCGTTGGTTCGTTCGTTCATTCTTGATCCATCCAGCGAGAGCTGATCAATTTGGACCTTCATTACATACAATTAAAGACAGAAGAATAAAAATTAAAACTAGATCATTAACATAAAACAATTACTTAATTTAAAACAGAAAAATAAAAGAAAAATCAGAAAATATTTTTTTAAAAATCAGGATTTAAGGAAATAATTAAAAATTAACAAAATGAAAAAAATAAAATTAAATTTGACACATTTAACAGAAAAATAATTGAAATATTAAATTATTCAAGAGAACTAAAGGAAATATAATGAATTAAATTAACATAAATAATAATAGGCCTATCTTAAAAAGACAGACTTATTAAAAATTAATAATGTACTTTACAAAGAAAAAAAACAAAGCAAAATCGAGATTCAAAATTGCAACAAAAAGAAATGGCTACAGGCAAAATTACACAATATTGGATAAAGGATAACTCAGAATGTTATTAGATTTGAAAGAGAAGAAAGAGAAAGCAGAACGGATAATCGATAGAAGAGAATATTAATTGTAAGGAGCACTATAGCTGATAAAATGAAGCTTGGAAGATTTTAGGATTTTAGGTTTTAGTGATTCTTCTTTTTGTCATACAGCCATTTGTAACAATATTTTTGAGGCACCAACAAAGAGTTTGTGGAGCAAGATTATGAAGAGCTTGTAAGTTAAACAGCAGAATTGAAATTGAAATCGGAATTAAAGGAGACTGGTATTGGCGGATGCGAAATGAGTAGGAGCAAAGTGAATAGTAGAAGGAAGTTTCAATAAATTACGCATGACTTTGTTTTGGATCTTTAGATATCCATTCATCCATCCATACATCCTGGTCATCCATCCATCCATCCATCCATCCATTCATCTATCCATCTATCTATCCATCCATCCATATCCATCCATCCATCTTTCCAGCCATCCATTCATCCATCCATCCATCCATCCATCCATCCATCCATCCATTCATCCATCCATCCATCCATCCATCCATCCATCCATCTATCCATCCATCCATCTATCTATCTGAAAAGTTTTGTACACCAAACTGCAACGTGAATTATTAGGAATGTTTAAGTAGCATTATTTTCGCAACTCACACTACTCTCTTCAGTATATTATTTAATTCGGGCAGGGGTGGATTTAAGGAGGGGCACAAGGCAACCGCCCCTACCTGGAGTGATCGTTTAATAGTGCTGTGCACAAATCTCGAAGAAATATATTGTATTCGTGTGAGTTCTTACAATATGTATATATATATATATATAAATATATATATCTAGATGTGTATAAGAGACAGTATATATATACATATGCAACAAAAAACAATTTTACATTAGCACGAATCTACAAAATCTGAACGAGGTCACGTCTCACTACTATAGAAACACATGCAAATATGTATTATTAAAAATACGTTAGTAAAGTATAGTGGAAGAGCAGAGTAATATTCTGGGTAGGTGGTTATTCTTCACGGTGAAACCATGGAGGAATTATAATTTCTCCGTGGTGGAACATAGGCCTACCGCTTCAATAAGTGCGGCTGAAACAACGGCGTATGTTCACTAAATGTAACGAAATAGGGCCTATATAAATCTCTCAAAAGATGGAAGGATGACAGTAAATGGTTCTCCACATGAAATTTATTTCATTTTTACACAGGAATACCTTTTTTCTTTATGGACCCACGGCTCCCTCCTCCTTCCTGCTCCTCTCCTGCAGCAAGTATCTGGATCTGCCCCAGTACTCACAGACCCTCGAGTATCATACTGTATAAATAAGAGTTGTGGTATTATTTTGAAAGCAGCGCTTGTTCGAGAGAAGCGCTTATTCGATCATTACGATAACTTTCCTTTTCTAGCACAATGAACATCCCAACATACGAGTTATCACTCGCCTGTATCCATGTTTTAATATCTTAGTAGACAGCGATCTAGTTCGTGACGTACAACTGGCAATAACTGATTATTGTTATTCTAGAATTGAAACAGCTACTGAAAAAAAGAAAGTATATCGTAAAAAAAAAAAAAAATAAGCCTGATTAAAGTTGATTCAGCAAGCGCTATTTTTTTTTTTACAATACCGTACGGTATAGCATCACCCCAAGGAGTTTTTACAATCATACGAAAACAAAACAATATGGCTTACGTCATCATGTTACAATGAGCTGATTCTCATTCTTATCAGATCTTTCACATAGTCTATGGTATTCCTGTTTTCGCAGATTACAGAAAATACCAATCATTTCGAAGTAGGAAAAAAAACATGTCACCTTAATTAGAATCAAATTTACTCGCCATTAAACAGATGAAATACAGTGCAGTATAATAAACTAGGCAAAACAAGGCTGTGGACGGAAAACGATAGCTGGATCTTGGTTCAGATACAAAATCGATAATCAAAATCTAAGATGTAAACAGGAAGAGAGAGAACCAAAACGATGATGTATAATATTGAAGCATACATTGTGTAACGTGATGAGCCATGATGTGCAGGCGGGACCAACATCTTGAACATCTCATCCGAAGGATCGACAGTGCACTATTTTCATTCTTTCTTTTCAACCCTCCAGCTGAACCACAGGGAGGTAGCGAATGGAATTGAATCAGGGAAAACGTTATTATAAAGGTCTCTACATTTAACACCAGATGCAACCTATTTCTTATTTCCCTCTTTCTGTGTATACGAGGTACTGTTACACATGCCTGAGAGATACTTGGAGAAAGTATAATGCAATCAATATTGTTCTCCTAAATAGATCTCTTCTAGGTCAATGTAAATTTAGTGACCAACACGTAGGCATATCTGGCTGTAGTCTGTCTTCATCAAGTCCATAATAATGTGTCAATCACACGTGTGATTAGAATATATCTCAACTCAACAGAGCCGCGACTGATTACATTGCTAGGTGATCACAAATCACAAATCAGTGTGAACACAAATAACAAAACTTTTAATGTCATTTTAGCTTTATAAGGCTCAGTAAAGACTCGTTTTGTGTTTATAGCTAAGTGCAATTGACCGTATTGACAGATGAACAAGCATCGTCTTCATCACTCATCATCATCATCATCATCATCACTGTCATAATTTTCATAATCATATCATCGTCATCATCATCCTTATCGTCATCAAATTCAAATTCACTGCAATAAATTAGAACATGACTGGATAAAACAAGCAAACAGTACCGACAAATTAATTAAAAACATATTAAAAAAGACGTCAATAAAATATAAATACAAAACCGAAGTCATTGAGAACATGTTATTGCGAAAATGCCGATTAAAAAAAATAATTATATTAGAAGTTCTAATTTAATTATTTTATTTACAAAAAAAAAATCAAATTGAACTACATTATACTGTATATCAATTAGTAGCTATCAAAATAGATTTTAAAACGGCCAATAGTCAACTCCCAAAGATAAACAAATATATAATTGCAATTATTAAATCATCAATATCATCATCATTATTATCCATCATCTTCATCATGGTCATCGTCATCGATCATCATCGTTAACATCATTATCAACACCCAAAGATAAAAAAAAGAAACTATAATTGCAATTATTAATTTTAATTGTAATTATTAAATCATCATCATCATTATCATCATCATCATTATCTATCATCTTCATCATGGTCATAGTCATCGATCATTATCATTAACATCATTATCATTTTCGTCTTACTTTCTTCTCTATCTCTCTTCTTTATCTTCTTCTTCACTAATCATCATCAACATTGTCATAATATTATTATTTTCATACATCACTGATCATTACAGCAGAGAAAGCGGCTCAGCATGTAAACATGGGCCTGTGGCTCTACACATTTTCCTTTCTATAGTTACTGACAAGATTGATGACTGCAGCGGATGAAGTGAAACATCAATAGATGGGTGAACAGATTGATGGATAGACGATGACTCTCTT